ACAGTTGAACATCATTATTAAAAGAAAGAAAAAAACATACACCTGAAAAAAAAAAAAAGAAAAGTTTAACTGTTTACCATTGGCATCAGATTCACAGGGCAACATGTGCATCTTGGGTGATCGACATTTGCGTTGTCAACCAGACGCAGCAGGAACGATCCACTGCCGCCATGTGTTCCTTCGGTCGACATTTGTGTCACCAGTTTTGCTCAGCTAATGAGCATCTCAGCTCATCACAACTGTCCATCATGAACCAATAGAATTCCTTTGTCAACGTCACCTCTCTCCTCCACCCTTGTTGTTCGCAAAAAACATGCCCACCCGCTGCATGGGGTTGTTTTTTTCATGTTTTTGTCACCTCCTTCGTCCATCTTCTCCCTCCGCCCAGAGAGCCCCCCCCCTCTTCGTCCAGTGTCCCAGGCCAATCCGCTTCGTCGGATGGAAGACAACAGTTCCACTGCCAGCTGCCACTGGTGCTCCTGAAACGAAATGCGGCCACTGGGGTACTGATGGTCATCCGACTCGATCGAACAACATCCACAACATCCGTGGGTTTCTACCTGGAACGTCCACACCGTGGGTTTCTACCTGCGTGGTATATACCAAATGGCGGTTCCCAGTGTGCCTGGAAGATTACCCTCCTTTTCTTCGGCCGAAGCGTTTCGTTTCGCGAAAACCCGCTGATCGCGCCGCGAACGCCGTCTGCGTCCTCGGAGCAGCTGGTGGAAGTCACGTGGTAGGACACCACGTCGGCGTCCGCGTCCAATGCAGTGAGTGCCCCGAACGCCTCATGCCGAAGCGGCCCGAAGAGATTTTGGCCCCGATTTCTGGAAAAACCCAACCCGAGTAGTACGACTTGATCAGACTTGATCTGAGAGGAAAAGTCCTTGACGACTGCATCGGAGGTCCGTGGAGGTCCATCCTGCACAAGGGTCCATCCGGCAAACCACCAACCCTAGCTGGCACGTGTGTGTCTCAACGGATCAGAACTGCGGGACAGTCCGCCTTCTCTCCGCCTTCTCTCCGCCTTCTCTCCGCACCGTCCGATCGAATAGTTTAAGTCCATCTTAAGGAATGTACCTCTTAAAACCCCACCTTTAACATGCTAGCGCATTCCATACCACGTGGATTCAATCCATGGGGAATGAACTGGCATCCGTGTGAGTGAGGAGTGCCAGCAGAGTGCCCACAACAAGCGTCAGTGAAACTCACCAGACTGACCCGTTCAGCTCTCATGCTGGGATTTCTGATCATTCAGATGAGGAGCGGAATCCCATGGTAAGGCACCGCAAAGATTGTTCTGGAAGGTCAAGCTGGGCTGCAGGCCACGTTGACGCCTTGTTTGTCGGCTTTGATCGTGGCTGGCATCAACAGAAGCATGATTATCTTGCCTCGTCTTGAGTTCACAGTGATTAGCACTTGTGTTTTCCTTGGAAGTAATTACAGTACTTGGCACGTTCTGCGTTGTATAGCAAGAAATAATGTGTTTGCAGAGTCGTTCAGAAAGCTTCATGTTGGCTTCAGTGTTGCTGACGAGCGCTCAGTAACAAAACTGTCTCTGATGCCAGTTTCAATCATACTTGCTCGATGTGCGGACCATTTTGGGAGTGCCAAAGTGTCTTTCGTTGGCCGTGGAAACTGTTGTCAGGTGTCCGGCAAGTGGCTAGCTTTCAACGACGAAGGTAGAAGTCCTGGCCAAACCACCAAAAAAACGTTTGAGAGATGGCTATGTGTCAAACCCCAGCCATAGTTGACCCACCAAATCGAAAACACAAAGGACGACCAGTGTGTCAACCTACCATGCTTGTTGTGGGGGTGCAGGTTTTGATAAGTCTTGACCCACACTCAGACTGGGTGTGTGTTTACACCAGGTCTAGCTAAGCTGCAACTCTCAGACCCTGAGTTGTCGGGATACACCGTCCAATCGGCGCGTATGTCAGTATGTCACATTAACCTTCCACACCGGCCCGGCCGAGGGTTCGCAGTGGTTCACCCAAAATAACACGTATCTCAAGAACGCAGTTCATACTCCAACTCCATGTTTCTGGGCGATTCTTGGACCGATGCTGAAAAGGCCGCTGCCCAGCTCTGGATGCCCATGACCCACACAGCTCCTCCAGGAACTTCTGGGCAGGACTTCTGCTTCCGCAGACCGGTTTGGCTACCCGCGGGACCGCACGTGGTAAATGGCGGCGTTGGAAGATCATTGACCTACCCAGACTGGGCTAAATTGAAAGGCCCAAGCGCATCCAAAGCAAATCTACCTTGAGTGCAATGAGCAGCAGCCTGCAAAGGCTCCATGTCCAATCTCGGTCACTGAGTCCGGAATGGCAAGATCTGTCAAAGAGCTGCACTGAGAAAAGAAGCCCCAATGTAGGTGACGGAGTTCGGGATGACGACGCTTCTCAAGGCCGTGCAGTCTCTGAAGGACTCGGCTCCAATTTCCGTCACCGAAGCAGGGATGATAATGCTGGTCAAAGAGCTGCAGTTCAGGAAGGCATGTGGCTCAATGCAGGTGACAGACTCAGGGATGGTCACACTTTCCAAGGAGCTGCAGTTAAGGAAGACACCTCTCCCAATGCTGGTCACCGACTCCGGGATGATCACACTTGCCAACAAGTTGCAGTTTGCAAAGGCGCACGGCTGAATGTGCATCACCGAGCTGGGCATGATGACACTTGTCAAAGAGGTACATCCAGCGAAGGCAGAAAAGCCAATGTGGGTCACTGAGTTGGGGATCATCACGTTAGTCAAAGAGCTGCAGCGTGCAAACGCAAACCTACCAATGCGAGTCACTGACTCAGAGATTGTCAACTTGGCCAATATGCTACATTCTCTAAAAGCGCTTGGAACAATTTCACTTGTGCCCTTCGGGATTTCAACCGCAATCAAAGAACCCAAGCCACTATCACGACGAAGCCGGGCTAAAGCGCTTTGATCAGAGCACCTTACAACACGTTCTTTCAATATGAGCATTGCAGGCGACTCTGGATAAAGGCCAGCGGCAGCCCTTGCTACCAAATCATCGTTGTCCATCAACTTGTTTCCAACAACTAGTTCCACTTCGGTTAGTCTGTGTGTGAGCTCACTGTCCCAATTGTGCCGCTCTTTGATCTGCTGCTTGAGCTCTCCGCCAGTCATTTCTGGCGTAACTTCAAGAACCATCATTTCACCATTCAGCTGCGCCAATGAAATCCGCATGGCCATGACTCTCTGCTCACAAGTCAAGGTATACAAGGAGAGGGACCTCAAAAAATGCTCTTACAGTGTTGTACTGCAAGAGTCCACCCAACGGATACGGCAAAACATACAACAATGATCAACAATGTATGGACATATCATACATAGTCAGCCTCTGCAAGTACTTACGATGGCCGATCAACACCAGACTCTCAAAAACTGGGAAAGGAAGGTTTCGTGTGGGCAAAGGATTCTACTGGGTAATTGCTATGGTTGCTATTGGTGGTGTTGACCCATCTCCTGCACAGCCTCGCCATGTTCAGCTGGCACAATTGCGGTCGACCGAGCCCAACGGTCGACCAAACTGACCAAACTCAAGGCCCAACGGTCGAAACCGATGGACGCCAAATGGTCTTAGCATGTCATGGTCTTAAGCACCTCCGATGACCTACGAATCCTCCCGGAATGAGCCATACTTCTCGGCCGGGCCAGTATATTAGATCTTGTTGGAGCGTTGCATAACACAACCAGATTCAGCTGAATAAGATGTAGGGATGCAAATGGTGACATCATGCAGAGGATGACTTCTCATGATGGTTCAGCATTTCCAGTGTGTAGCTCGGTGAATCTCGGTGAATCTTCAGCACTCCTAAAAGTGTACAAAAAAAAACAGATTTCTCTGCCATTCCCCCACCAACCAATCACATGTAAAATGGATCGAGAGGCTGCGTCAGAAACACCATGTTGTGTTTCATGGTGGATGTACAGTACGACAAAACAACGTGTTGCGTTACCAACAGGCCCAACAATCCTGTATATATATATATATCAAAAGTTTGCCCCCACATCAAAATGACTCCTCAAAAAACATCCCGACTTCAACAAATCCTCAAAAACCTCCTGAACTCATGCCTACCCTGGCGCCCACTCCTCCGCCAGGCTGCAGCTCCTCCGCCAGTGCCGCGGCGGCTTTTCCGGCCACGGCGGCGCCGTAGGCGGTGCAGTCCCAGCGGAGCCGTTGGCGGCGGCCGCGGCGGAGGAGAGCCTTTCAGCCGCCGTGGTGCTGCGGTGAAGGAGAGCGGTCGGAGGGTCTCAGGTCCCGAACCACGTCGTTCGTTCTTCAGGTCACGGCCAAAACGGAGCAGGTGACTGAGGAAGAGAACGCTAGGCTGGATGGAGTTAAATGCATTTCTCCCAACACTCACAGAATCAGAATACTCAGCCCCATTCAGGAGTGGAACAAACCATGACTAATACAACGTGATACAACTCTATATACAGTATATACTTGACTTGGACTTCCTGCACTGCCTGGACTGGCACTCATGAATGCTAGATGGGTCTCCTGCTCGCCTGCGCCGTGTGCCAGGCACCTCCCACGCCGCAGGCAGCCAGGGCAGTGCTGGCTGAAGCCAAGTCCACGGCCTACGCAGCGCCGCGCAAGCGGCGACGCAAGTTCCAGGTGAGGTACATGGACGTGGGGATCCCACTCTTCCATGTGAGGTAAGCAAACATTCAAAAAAAGTATTTTTTTCGTCATGGGGATCAACATGGATCAACATATTATATTATTACCAAAACCGTTCAATGGCTGTTCAAGTGACTGCTCTACACTACTGAGGGATCTCCATTGGACGCCTATTTTGCGGTCTATAAGTGTGTTTAATTACAAAGAACATCAAAGAATTAAGGATTGGTGATTCCTTCTTCTCCCGGAACACCCCTGGAAGTGATTGTTTTCCTCTCTGCGTATGATCGTCTCCAAGCAGAAGGAGACGATATAAATGGTGTCACGAACACCTTGGTCAAGGTGAACCCTTTCAAAGGCTTCTGTCCATCCTCGGCTCCCCAAGCATCTCCAGCCCCGACCGGAAGACCTTCGGCTCCAGCATCTCCAACGCCAAGCGCCAGCATTCAACCGCATTCAGCGCTGTAGCAACCGAGGTGAGGACCACCACTGAGAAACGATCTGCATCGTGTTCGGTGTTCCACGTGGGTCAAGAGAAGGTATACAAGGTCTTGGTGGATGCCGCTAGGTGAAGCTAGGTGGATCCAGTTCGGTGGAAGCATGCGTATGACGTGTTTGTGATCGAATCACGATGTGAATATTTGGAATCTCCGGGGCCCGGCATGTACCTACCCACAGTTTTCAAGAAAAACAATAACCTCAGTTCTGAGCAACGATTCTTCACCCACAGAACCAGTCACGGTTCGGAGCTCGTCTCGTGTCGCCTTGAACTCGCAACTGGACGTCCAACTGAAGCGCTGCACCCCAGGCCTTCGCCTCGGTCGAGGTCGGTGGCACGGTCGAACGACGGCGCTCCTGGCGCGAGCAAGCGCCGGTGTTGTGGGCCGCAGAAGTCCGACTGAAAACATTAAGATGTTTAAACAAAAAATAAATATAATAAATGCTACATATAATGCTACATAATATTACATTTAATGCTATAATATATATAGATGCTACATAATGCTACTCATTAAAGCACCTTCAAGCGGATTCAAGCGGTCGCTTTGTAGGGCTGTTGCAACCATGGCATTCACTTTCTGCTGCGTCCAAACTCTAACATGCATATTCTGCGTAAACGCTGCGTTGCCATGCAGGGAGTTGATCTTGCAGGCATGTTTCATTGGGCTAAGTTAGGCGTGACTACTTTCGAAACACTGCGTGTAGCTCGGGGAAGCATGCTCCAGAACTAGGCATAACTCCATGACATAAATAGCATCGGAATCGGTGAAACGTGGCCGGTGGATGGCAGTATGACCTTTCCAAGTGTGACGTGTGGGAGTTTCCCTTCCAGAGCGAAAAAGCAAAGGCCGAATTAGGAATGACAAATCATCCCACTCGCTCATGCTTTCCAGGTTGCGCTCATGCCTTCCAGGTTGCGCTATGCTTTCCGGGGTTGCGCTTTTGTAGACGTTCACTAAAGCAACAAACACGCAAGATCTACGCGCAAAAGCCAACGCCGGTCACCCCGGAGTGTGGTTCCAACGGCGCGCCGAACGGTCACTGAGGCTGCTTCTGTGTCGGGGTCTGCGGCTGCTGAAGAGTCGGTGTCTGAAGGCCCACGATGTGTGTTTTCAAGTTTCAAGCATACATGCCAGGCCAACACATGTATGTGTATATATATATGTTGTATATATACATATAAATCATATAATACTATATATATATATATATGGTCCATCATATGTTTTTGACATGGAAAAAAGTACTAACTACTCACAACGATAACCCCCTGTATAAGTTATCATGCAGTCAATCATACCCATGCAAGTCCACCAACTGCAAGTCCAAACCAGGATGGTGATGAGAAAACAAGTTCGGACATCCTATATTTGGGTGATCACACCGGGGATCATCTCTTCTGGTTTCAGGTCGTTTCCACGTCTTTCCCTCTTGACACCTTGGCCATCTGGTCAGCGCAAGGGCCGGCCACGCGGGGACCGAAGCCAAGCTCAGCCTGGGCGGACAAACGCACAGAAATCAGCCTTGCAAAGGAGTCCCCAGCACTTGGTAGATCTCCAACTACCTAAACAAAACTGGAAACCATCACCTAAGGGACTGTTTCAATCGATTTCCACACCGTTCGAGTCTGGGCTTTAGACAAGGCAACTTCGGAAAGGTAGAGCATCTCATTGGTCCACCATTCTCAGCTTGACTCCCACCATGCTTGACCTGTTCTCTCAAAGAAAACAAACGCGTTTTTCATAGAAAAACGTATGAACAAGTCAACAGAACATGTGCACATTCTATTCCATTTCCATTCATAAATCCTGCTTTCGGGCACCAAAAAAATAATCGATTCATCCAGGGCATCTTCCGCTCTCCCGATCCTCCAGGGGCATCGGACCTGTCGTGTCCCAAGTGGCAATACAGAACTCCCAGGGGCATCCGCTGGCGGCCGTGGCGCTCCACGTGACCTGATTGGTGTCCGGAGAAAGGTCGGGAAGGGTCGTAGCTGTTTTTTTCCCAAGTCAAATGATTTGAAGATTGTCTTTTTGGAAGTACGATATTGAAGTTATTAACAACATCTGTGGAGTAATTACAGTATACTATAGTATACTTCCATATCGAAGATATGCAAACAAGTGACCGTCACAGTTGGAAAGAAAACGTCCAAACATCCCCCTGTTCGTTTCAATGTCAATGGGGGCCACTTTTCTTGGGGGATCTACGTTTGCACAAAATGATGCTGCCATCTCGGGCTCATACTCCTGGTGTCCGCCACATGTCTCTGCCCCCACAAACCGTTCGTTCGATTCCATGAGCTTCGTGCTGAACAGTGCAGGGTGACAAGTCCAAAGGATCCCCAAGTCCTTCACTCAACAGGAGCAACATCACAGGAGCACGTGTGAAGCCCACCAAGGACTGTTCACCAACCAGGGAAAGCCAGATGGATGGCCGAATAGCCTACCGCATGGTCACCAATGCAATGCTCGTGACCCGCAGCCAGCAATTCTAAGTCACAATCACAAAGTGACTGCAAACCGAAACGAGTGTTGACACAACAAACACCCTAAAACAGGCTGTTGTGCAGAAAACCTTTTGAAACAATCTGCTGTGAGAAAAACCAACCGCGGCATCAAGGAAGTGATGTACGACGTCGACTGTTGGACCAAGAGTAATCACGAGGCTGGGAACCAAGCTGTCATACCTAGTCACATCCATCCACATCCCACAGTTCCTTGCCCTCCTCACCTCGTCTGCTTGAAGCCGTTGTGCCAAGGCTGTCGCAACCAACGTCACGCATTGCTCCCAGCGTGCCGCGTGGTGAGCCGCGTCGCGCGGCGCGGCGCCGTCGCTGCGGCTGGCGCGCCGGAGGGCGTTGAGCTGAGGCGCCGATGGTCGATGAGGATGGGAAAGGAACGTCTTTGCCAGTTGGAGCAAAAATAAAGAATAACTTGCCAAGTTCTAGACTTTGCGGAGGGCAATCCTGAAACAACTGGGTGGTGAAATCCAAAGCTTCCTTTGCTGCATATCTTTTGCTCATGCTTCGGGGCGGCTTTGGAATACTTGAATACTTGTTGGTCCCATGCAGGGCAGGGACACATCGTGTGAGGTTTTGAAATTGCTTTGTTTTGCAACAAAAAGTCCGCATTTCGGACTCCCCAGCGGTCGTTGAATGACGGAGGACGCTGATCGCCGGTTTGGTCTCACAGCGGACGGCAACGGATTTACAGCGGGACAGCTCGGAGTTTTCAGGCGGTGCAGGAGCTGTCATCAGCAAACACGAGACCAAGCATTTCGGACAAAATTCACCTTCAAGTGCCGCAAGTGGTTTGTGTGGGTCAGGAATTGTCTTTAGGATTGGAGAGGGTGCTGCACTGCTTTGAGATGCTCTAGGCATGTAATTAGGGCCGCCAAAGTTCCTTGGTTAATGCCTGCAAAAGGTGTATAAATATGTGTTATATGTTATACATAAAATTTGTTATATGCGGTGAAGGCCATCTCAAGAATGCATCCTGTTGCCCTATGTAATTAGGGGCCGTCTCATGGTTACCAAACGTTACCAAGCTTATCACCTAAAAAACCCACAAAGACCTTGGCCGCGTCCGCGTGTAACAATTAATATGCTGTAATAGAGTCGTGCCAGGTCCAAAGTTCTAACACTTCACCAACTAACTCAGAAGAGTGCCACCATAGACCTAGACCCTCCAACCTGAAATCGGTTCGGAGTTCGCCCGCGTAGTTTTCACGCCCGCATCGGTCCAGGGACTGCCGCGTTGACCAGCAGAGTATTGGGCTCTGGTCCCAAGCTCCTGAGGACATGCGCCCACAAGCCACAGGATGCAGCTAAGAGCCCCTGAGTCCAGTACGAAGTCTCAAAACGAACCAAAAACACCTCAGACTGAATTTCACTTACTCATATAAAGGTCGGTATATACACGTATATTGATTCTATTCAAAGTTGACCTTTAGATAATATTAAGAACTGAAGTCAACCAACCGGACAGTCCAACTTCTGGGGTCTTCGAGTGAGTTATCCTGTTTTTGAAGTCGGAAGTCTGGAGAGGCAAACCTCCTTCGATGTTCGTGGACTCAGACAAAACTTTTCCAAACAGAAGTCGAACTCCTCAAGACCACGCCTTCTCCGGTACCCCCCGAGAAGTTCACGCCCAAAACGACCACTCCCATTTCACGCCCAAATCCGACTCATCGGGCGCCGCCGCGACTCGTCGCTCCGTCGGTCCTTGCGCTCCAGAAATGACGCAGCGCCTGCCGCCACTCCTGGAACTGAGGCCCGTCGCGTCCGGACCGTCCCCCAAGGCCCACGAGTCTACACAGCGTCCCGATGCGGGAGGCGAGAGGCGGCGTCTTTGCAAATCCGGGAGCCGACCTGCAGCACCTGTGTCCCAGCCGGAGGCCTTCGGTTGGTACCCAAAGCTGCCGCCGACCGACCTCCGGTCAACCTCCCCCCAGTCACCCTGGCAACATAGGCCAGCGTACGGACAGGATGACATAACATGGGCCAACATGTGGCAACATGGATATTGTGATGGATGCGAGGTCGTTTTCCAAGCCCCGTGGTGCGAGATATGCTGTCCGAGTGGCATTGCTTTACTAGCATTTTGTTCTTTTGCTGGCTCTCTGATTTTTTCTCTTCTACCGGTGGAGAAAGAGCATGTCCGAAAACTGTGTATTGCACGGTGGCTTCGGGGCTGGATATGTCCGAAAACCATGTGTTTTACGGGGTTTTCGGGTTTGCGGAGAGAAGCGTCTGGATTGAACCTGTGTGAAAACTGTGTTTTACAGTGTCTGCACGGCTGCGCAGAGACGCGTCTGGATTGAACGTGTGCGAAAGCCATGTGCTTTACGGTGTTTTCGGGGTTGCGGTGTTTGAAACCACAATAAATGAACATAAATGATGTCATATTGATTACACCAAACAATGTTCCTGATAATAGTGTTCCATTAACTGGTATTATTGATGATGAAATGAGTTTATCTGATAATAATACTATTGTTTCCGATGATGATACTGTTGATGAAAGTGCTGGTATATCTCGGACGCATAAGTGCACGCGCACGGCAGAGCAGTGCGGGCGTGCACGGTCTCAGGTCTGTCGAGCCTAGCCCATCGAATGCCCAGGTGGCAAAGGACGAGCATAGTCAGCCGCCCGTCTGAGCGGCCAGCCACGGGTGATGGTAAGCAGTCCACCACGAGCATGGCGCACAAGCGCAGCCGGAAGCATCAAAAAGATTCCAGCCACTGGCGCTGAAATGCCCAGTTCCAGTTTGTTTAAAGACAAAGAAAGCATCTCCGAAATATCAAACACCTCCGCAATCGAACCGATCGCAACACGCAACAATCGAATCAAACTGGAAATGGTAGGTCGCACTGGCATTCGGGCCAATGGAACAAGCTCCCATTGATTTGTAGATGGGTTACACAGGGGAAAAGGCAAACCCTGACGCTGAAGAAGAACCAAAAGCTCAACAAAACTACAGCCATACATACCATCAGCCTGAGTTTCCCACCTCAAAAACAAATGGAGTAAAGAGCTCAAAAAGGTGAGCGGTAAAGTAACTGCACAACGCTCAAGCATGGGTTCAAAAACAGGCGGAAGCTGGCTGGACAAAGCATTCCGATCTATCACCCATTCAAAATCAAAAGATGCGGTACTCTCAGGAACCTGTGCTCTCTCAGTAGATGACTCAGCAGAAGAGGCAGCTACATGGCAGTAAAAAGAACGAACCTGAGTGAGCAAAGTCAAAGTAGTCCGGTGATACTCCTCGGCCTGAGTCACCTGCTCCCAAAACTCTGCAGATCTTCGTTCATTCATCTCACCTGCACAGAGGTCCACCTTAGAATTCCAAGCGGCCACCCAATCCTGCCAAGGATCCTCACATGCCTCCGGATCAATGTGAGAAGGAATCCAAGTCACCAACGGGGGATATTCGGACTGTTCCAAAGCTGTGTGAATGCGGCCCCACAGGTCGCGGTGTTTCCAGTGCAAGGGGACATGGCCAGTACGCAGCAAATAATGCAGGTTGTCCACAACAAAAAGTGAATCCACCCACAAATGCAGTTGTATGTGTTGCCAAGCTCCCCATTCAACAGCCGCAAAAACCGCGGAAACCTCTGCCCGCGCCGCCGTTTGATCCACTCCGGCCAAATGAGCAGCAGAAATCAACTGACCACTCGAGGCCGAAATTGCGGCCCAAGATGCATAGGAAAGGCCACAATCCAACTTCTTGGAACTACCATCTGTGAAAACATGCTCCAAAGGCTGGATCGCTGTCCCCACAAAAGCAAGTTCATTTGGTCGCATATGAAAATACTCCCGAAACCACCGCCTTGTGGGATTACGGCTAGGCAAAAGATGCCAAGAAACATGACCAGGAGCCGCTTCCAAAATCTCCGGAGTGAGCTGGGACCTCCGTCGAAATTCAGAAAATCTCGGACATCTCCACCAGTGTGCTTGATCATCCTTACAGTCGCACTGAGAGCACCAAGCTGTCTTGGCCAAGTCAAACTTGGCATGATGAGCAGCATCAACAAAGGTGCCAGAATGTAAGGAACACTGCAAGGAATGATGAAGAGCCGAAACTCCTTTATGTAAATCAGCCAGCAAAGCGGAGTCAAGTCCCTGCAAGCCAGTCATGGAAGGTCGTCGACAGGCCTCAAAAGCCACATGCTGCAGCCAAGCCTCATGTAGTCCAGCGACCAAAGAAGCGTCGTCCCATTGAAGCAAATCATGGCAAAGATCGTCGTGATCCCAAACATGGGGGAGATACAATCGCCATCCAACCAAATGAAGCTGTTCCAGAATCTTGGAATACGGACCCTGTCCAAGAATCCCAGTATAACAACACATAAAGGTGGACCAATCATTGCAAAAGTGCTCCATTTTAAGACAGACCCTGCGAAAAGTAAGAACCGTGGTTTTGAGCTGAAAGAACCCGGGGTCTGCATCCCACGGACCACTCAATGTCAATCGCAGCATGGGATTACTCCCAGTCTTGGATAATCGCAAAGCACGCATGGCCTGAGTACGCAACTCGGCAATCCAAGAAGCACTAAATCTCGAGGAAGGTGCACCATGGAGTGCCTGCGACCAAAAGCAAGGGCCAAGACTACGCAGTTTCAAGCATAGCGGAGCCGCCGACAATCGAAGACGCTGCCACTTGTCAGCCAAAGAATGCAAACGATCGGCTTGATGCTGATTTCGAGATCGAGCGGTGAATGACATGGAGCCTCCCAATTCAGCTGCAGTCTCACGACAAGGACATGGCATCAACCTCAATTGGTTTCGCAGGGCAGGTTTGGTGGCCCACACGAATGTCTTCCGAGGGTCGAGCTCCAGATTCCATAGCTGATAAAAGGAACTTGTGGTCACGAAGCCAGCAATAAGTGCCGCCACCGAATTGCTCCGAACTCCAATATTGTCCACGTACGTGCTGGCAATTGCACGCGGGCTAAATTTGGCCATGTAGACATGATAGCTGAAATCAAGTTGGACCATAGCGAAAACGGAGAGGGCATCGCCCTCAGGCACTCCAACCGAAGATCCGCTTGCTTCGCTCAAAACCCCATGGTAGTCAAATGCTCTTTGACAATTATCCAGAAAGGATTTCCATGGGAGTGTGACCGAAGCTGGAACCTGCAAATGTGCAGCTAGAGCCCAAGTCTGAGGACGTGGGATGTGTTCAAATGCCTTGCAGAGGTCAGAACTGAAACCAAAAAGGTCACGATCCAACAAAAGACAAAGTTCCACATGTCCTTGGACGCCCATCCAATACTGTGCTGCTTCTCTATGGGGAAGAAAGCCGTAAGCTTCAGCACTGACAAAAGGTTCCAGCTGTTGTATCAAAGCCCGAGCCTTGATCCCGGCCCAGGTACGGTAAATGACACTGAAAATCACCACAGGGCGGTAATCTCCAGGAAGACGGGCTGCTGCCGATTTTGCCAGACTGAACACCGTGCCATATAATATGGCCGCTGGCCAGGCCAAATGACCTCGTTCGATGGCATGCAACAAGGTCAAAAGCTGTGCTGTCCACGAATCTGGCATGCAAAGGAGCTCAGCCGGGGAGAAGCCATCGACCCCCCTCGCACATCGAGGTTTGTATCGGCGTAGCGCCGCACGCCAGAGGCGGACAGAAAGGTCCGGAAGGTCAAAGCTAACCTGCGGGATGAAGGCACGAAAAAAGGCCACCACTCGGTCCCAGAGCTCAGAAGGCAAGGGGGAAGCGGCCAACCATCTCTTCTGCCAAAAACTCAAAAGTTGCGAATGAACCTCCTCGGCGGTGGTAAAGAATTGTCGTTGCAGCAAAGTGGAGTCAATCGACACCAAAGGCCAAGGAACCAAGGTACAAAGATCATCCTGTTCATGCAGGAGGGAGACCGGTTCTCCATCCAGATACCATGTAGACGTGCCGGACAACGATGGAATCTCGTCCAATTGAATCTGGTGGGTGGCATTGTCAAAGCCAATCACAGAAAACACCTGTTCTTGACATAGGCCATCCAACTGTTCTGGAGCAGGTTTTCTCAAGTCCTGATACAACGCCCCCAGGGTTCGATCATGTTTTTGTTTGAGCATTGAGTTCCTCTGGTTCAGATGCCAAGCTTCAAACTGCTCATAACGACAGCGAAAGGCCGCAAAAATGGCCTCCGCCGTCGCTACATCAGGGGGCTGCGAGGGCAAAAAAGCCGGTGCACAAGGATCAGCCTCCCAACCAAAGTGTTGCCACCACCACGAAAAGCTGTGATCAAAGCCCCGAGCAGCTAAGATCGCAGACCAAAGCTCAAGCCGATACACCACAGCCGAGGAAGAGGATTTGGCAGCCCGTATGGCGTGCACATAAGATTGTAATCGTCGAAGTTGGCGGAACCAAGACACAACCGAGGTGCCCAGCAAAGAATTTCTCATACGGACTTCACCCTCACGACTAGGTCGACACACCACATTCGACACACGATGAAGAGAAGGAGAACAATGCTGGAAACGGCCTCGTTGTTGAGGAGTCAAGGAACTACCTGGCTGTGAGCATAGATGTCCATCAAAACTGGATTCATAGCTGCGAGCCCAAACCTGAAACAAGACATTGGAGTCCGTAGAGTCAGGCAAGGAGGCCGGTTGTGAAGATGGCCAAGCGTCATCCACCTCTGCGACGGGAATGACTGAAGGTCTTGTCCATCTCAACACCGCCCCAGGGGAGCGCAACATGTCAAGCTGCACCTGAACTGTAGAATGCTCCATGAAATGATCCAAAACACGAACAGCAGTGCATAGAGCCTGAGCCTCCGGAGACATCCACACCTGATCGGGCTCTGTCTGGCCCTTATAGGTCATACGGACGGGTTGATGCCAGTGATCCAAGGCCCAAGTTTGGGCTGATTGCCACCCAAGCCGTCTCCAAGTGTCAAAGACACTCAACTCTGTGGAACTGGCGTTGAAGTCGCCCGCAATGATACGGGGACCCCGTGCTCCCAAAACAATGTCGTGAGTTACCACTCCCAGCAACTCAGTGGTCAAAGCACGAGAACGAGGCCAAGTAGGCGAAGAAGGGTACCCGTAGACCACCGCCTTCGTCAAACAAACTCCCTGCACGAAGTGTTGTGTGGCCAACAAGCGTCCTGATTCATATTCATGCGACTGCCAGGACAAGGTCAAAGGTCGAGACACGAAGTCACTAATGGTTGCAACTCCTGTCCAAGTCCCGGCCCATGAAGAACCGGCTCTCAGGGCCGCCGGGGCCCCAAACAATGGCCGCACAATGCGACCCTCCGCCATGGCCAGAGATCTTAGACGCTTCTTACAAGAATGCTGTGTATATCGGGAACATTGAGTTTCACAGAGCGAGAAGATACCCGGTCCATGAGAAAGGACTATTTCTTCTTTCTGGCGAAGCCCACTAGGATTTGAAACGGAGACCAGCAACTGTGATGCTGGTCCAGGATTGGCAGCCTCTCCAACACGGGTGAAGCTGATGAAGCGGGGATTGAGCAACCTTGGAGAAAAGGTGCTAACATCAAGCAAGCAGTCCACTGGGGGTGCAAAAGGACCATCCGCCCCAGTCCCAATACACGTCACATGGACAACAGAAACCGCCCTCAAGGGTAACATACAGTCAACCTCATCCACAACCATCGTCTCCACTCTCGGGTGCAGCCGGTCCGCTCCAGAAGAAATCCCCGACTCAAAATCACGGTCCCAGTGGGCCGTGCTGTGAACGAAGGGCCGAGCAAGGGAATCTTCCGAGGCACCCAGCGCAACACCGAGCCAAGCAAAGAGCAAAATCAACCGAAACAACAGACCTTTCATTCTGCCAGGCCTCCACCACGGTCGAAAGGAGGAGCCTGGATGACCTAGTCACTCGGTCCGGAATTTCTTGCACAAGAGCGCTTCAAACTTCTCAAATTGACTGGACAATTTGCTCTCCAGCTCGCTGACGAATTCGCCACGCAAAGCACTCGACGATTGCTGAACTGAGTGCTGCAGAGCATCAGCAGTATGTCGTACTTCCTGCTGTACTTGCAACAGATTGGACTGCAATTGTTGGGTGCCCTGCTCAGCAGATTCCATCCGTTTGGAGGCCTCCGTACACCAAGACTGGAAGTTGACATTCTGGGCCCGTAGTTCGTTGAGTGAGCATTCAACCTGCTTGAATCGTTGATCAGTCTGGGAGCGAAGATCATCGAGAGCCTGAGTACTCCCTGTGGACGGAGCCATGGAAGCAACCTGAGCTTGCAAGTTCTGTCCAACCGAAGCCGTGATGTCTTCTTTCAACTTGGCTGCAACCTCATCAATATGTTTCTGGCCACTGGATGAACCAGGAATCACTGTGGGAAGGAATTTGGCCCAAGGATCAGCTGACTTGACCAACCAAGGATCTGTCTTCTCGGAACTGCTGGCAGCCTGAGTAGAGGACGTCGAAGCGTGAGAAATAGTCTTCTTGCTGGCATGAAACTGCACCTTGCGCTCAACAATCTCCTGCTGCTGGATCTGGTTGATCAAAACATCTTGGTTGAAAGCTGTCAGAACGGACTGAGATGGTGGACTGTCCGCCCCGATCAACCATGCTCCACCCAAAGCAGTGCCTTTGGTTGGCTGCAATGGCCTAGCCTTCCAGGCCCATTCCTTCAAGATTTTCTCAACTCCCCGGCGATCCAAGCCATGCGGCAGAGGATGAACTCGAAAAGTCAACGTAGGGCGACCCAAATGAAAAGGTACCTGAGGTCTCAATTCTTTGTGTACCTTTTCGGCATCCGAGGCTCTCACGCGGAGGCCAAACTTCATCTGCATCCTAACCAGGCCAACCACATTGCCCATGGTACGGAGCTTGTGAACCGCATCATGCTTCGGAATGGAGCCCAACCACAGCAAAACAAACTCAGGATCAGGCCCCGTAGCAGTAGAGGATCTAGGCTCAAAGTAAATGCCATCAGTCACACTGGCCAACAAATGCTGCAATAATGGCTTGATCACCCTGAGGAAGGCAGTGAAGCAGACAGCTTGGTCAGCTGGCGCCTGACGAGCTTCCAAGGAGGTAAATCGTCTGGCCCAAATCTCATGCATCAGGTTAATCTCCTCTACATCGACCGGCAAGTGGTATTTGGGACAAGATCCACCGCAGCTCTGTCCTTCACAAACCTGAAGAATTGGGATTCTGTGCACGACGAACTTGATCGGCGAGTCGACAACCGAAGCCCAGTCCGACTCAATCTCATCCCGGAAGACCTGAAGGCGTACCACCACCGATTCGACCATATCGGGAAGAGAGGAAGGCCCCGCAGGCCGATGGCGTTCGATCAACACATCACCAAGTAGCAGCAAAGCACCATTCACCAAAATCAATTCCTCAGTCGGTGTATATGTAGCCGGAAAACGAAGGTTGGTGACCTTACGGGAGCCGGATGATGCACCATCAATCTCGCTTGTGATCAGCAGACCCAATGCGTCCACACTGATTGATCGAGGATTGTCCAAGAAGGGCTGTGCTTCCTGGCGAGAGACAACAGCAATGCCTCGGGCTTCTGATTGCACCTGCTCCAAAAGGATTTGCGGCACAGAGTCACCTGAGGAGTCCTTGAAGTGCCCAGCAATGAGAGTCAACAGCTTAGGATCCAACTGAATATCTGCAATCTTTGGTTTTTTGATCGAAGATTTCTCCTTCTTGGATTTCAACTCAGCTCCAAAACGCTTGTTTGGCCTGTTGCTCGATGTAGGCAGCCAGCTCATGAGGCTTGAGAAACTTGAATTGAATCGTAGGCTTGGAAGCTGTGGCTTTGAGGCGCTGCCAAGGATTCTTGGAACTCAAGGCCTGGAGAACTGAAGCACGACCCAATGCATCCATAGCCTGCTGAGCACGTCCGGAGACTTCGCCGACAGGTACACCCTTGGAAGAAAGCAAGTCAATCAACTGGGCAAGCACAGGATCATCGACCATAGCCCACCAAAGCATCACGTTTGCTCTGATGACATAGAAGCCAAGAGTGTAGTTGGAGCACATGATCTTCCGAGAAGGAGCCCTGAAGACCTAACAACATAGCAACATGAGCCAATGCCACTGCCCCACAAGTGAAGCCGTGAGCTTGAGGAATCAAAGACCCAACATGCAAATCGACAAAGGTGAGCTCAAAGATAGCCGACAACTTTTGCGCCAAGAGCAAAGCGGTGTTTAGCAAATGTCCTGGCAAACCATCATAGTAAGTCCAGCGAATTTCCGTCTCGTCTTGGCGACCACATAACACCGCCCAATGCCCATGAGCTGAAAAACATCCAACCGCCAGTCCCTGACTGCAAGCCCAGAGGTGCCGCAACACTCGAACACGATCAGGCGAAAGAGAGTCCGCTAACAAATGATGAAGAAGCTCAGGATGAAGGTGCAGCAAAGTCTCATGATCGATCAAATCCGAAGATCTGCACATGGAACACATTGCATGCCACACCGTATGGCCTGACAATCCGACCTCCTGATTCACACTTGCCCCACAAGCTTGTTGATCCATCAATGAAGTACAAGGCAAAGGCGAGGGGGATGGAAAAGAACCAGGCGACAAAGTCGAAAGCCGCAAAGTGGACCAAATCCGATAGTCACGCCCATATACCCTGCCATCCTCGTCGACCAGCCACAGCACCATGTGCAGGGAATGCTCCGCCAAAGCCTCAAACATAAACGAACCATAGGGCACGCAAGAGATATACAACTGGTTGTCATGTTGGATGCCAACTGCAACCAACCCAGCAGGCTGTGGTTTCGCCTGCCGCTTGGGATGACTCCAGAGCTGAACTGGAATCTCTTCATCAATCACCATGTCCTGGGACATTTGGCCATGCATGGAGTGACAACACATTGTTTCTCCCCAACCCAGCGAAATGGATTCGGCCTTGAGCAACTGGCCCATCGTAACCATGCCTTCCTTCAAGATAGGACGTTCTGGATAAGCCCAAGGGACAGTCTGTCGAATCTGCTTGCACAAGGCAATTTTGTACTGATGAACCAAAGCTAGAGGATCAATCCGAGAATGCCCAAATTGAGAGGCGGCTGCATTCGCTTGATGAGAGTACATCCACAACGCTTGCAGTGGTGCAGCGGACTGTCCAAGCAAACAAAGCGACTGTCTCGGCTGTGACTCCCAATGTTGATCCGGAGGAATGGAGAGCAAAGACGACAACTCAACTGGGTGCAAAAAACGAGGCTGTAAATGAGCTTCGGAAATGACCAGGATGCCTCGAAGTCCTTTGGTCTGTAGTGAAGACAAAGCAAAGCTACGATCTCTGCACCCGCAAAAGCAACCTTGAAGAGCGCAACCATAAGAATGGAGAACCGTAGGCATGGTATCATCCAGAGTGGCTAGTCGTCGATCACTGCCGAAGGCTGGATTACCATACGCTGCCAATTCGGCACGGGTCAGCTGAAGATCAGCTTCATGGTCCTCAGACCAAAGGCCCCAAGATTCAAAGATCGAAGAAACCTTAGTTGTAGACGACGAGGTAGGCCATGGAGCCAAAGGCGGAAAAGACCATGAACTTGGGCACAGCGAACACCACCATCTCCGACGATGCATTGGCCATTGAGCGGCTAAGTCAAAGATCAACTGGTGGCCTTGCCAGCCAAGAGTGGCTTCCACTTGAGAGAGGCCAGCCTGGATGTCCGGATCCGAGTAGACAGCTGGCGTGCACTCCAACACCACTGATTGAGCTTGCAGTAACATGATGCACCGCAGAACAGCCCAGTACACAGCTGAGCGAGGGTCCCTCTGCGAACACTGGGAACCCTGATCAGAGTATGGTTGACAGGGGAACCCAGCAAAAAGAGTGAAAAGCTGACCATCTAACATCTGATGAAATCTCTTCAAATCCGAGTCACTGCAAAGGTTCCCGTCAAGCACCGGAGCATTGGAGTTCCGGCGAAGATGCCGCAAAGAAAGCCCATTGCACTCGAAGTGCGCAAGAACACGAGCACCCATGAATTGCGCCCCCATCGTAGTAGCCCCAAGGCCAGCACAAACATCAACCACCTGTGCCACGAAATGATCGCAAACAGGCGGAGTGGCCAACCAAGAGAGACCATCAACCTCCAACGAAAGTGGCTCTGTGGTCAGGACGACCAAGTCATATCCAGTGAGCGGAAACTTGCATCCCTCAGGCAGATTTCGAATCTCACAGGCAAATCCCCTCAAGTCAAAGAGAGGCAAGGGGGAGTCCAAGGAGCCAAGGTGGAACCGGCTCGTGTACCGGCCACCGATCACAGGAGGCGGCTGCAGTCGCGGGTCCAGAAGGATCGACATGAACAAGGGGCAAAAACGGACACCCGATTTTCAGGTGATGACAGCGTCACCACTGGAAGGCTTTCGGGCCAGACGCTGAAAGTGCTGATATAAATAAAGATATTGAAACTGTTTTTGAATTATATGCTAATTGCTGCAGTTATACTTATTGTAAGTTTTGTTTTTTATATTTTATTGGACACAAAATGAAAGATGATAAAATGAGAGCCACCCCAGGACCGACGTAGGTAAACCTACGTTCGACATGGCCCCAAGGTGGGCTGAACCTGGCCCAACAGCGGCCCACGGTGGCCGCATATGGGCCTGACATTCGGCCCACTGGCGGCAGTGGCTCCCTAACCGCAAAACCGGGGTCAAAAGCTGGGAGACACATGTGGACACAGAGAGACAAATGTAAAGGATTACAAGCGACATGCAGCTGAGAGCTGGGACACAAATAAAGGATTCCAAGGCAGTGGCGGATACAGCTGTCAGCGCTGGGAGACACATGGAATTCAAGGATTGCATGGCAGAGGCGGACACAGCGGCCCAGAGCTGAAAACAAATGTAAAGGATTGCAAGCGAGAGGCAAACATAGCAGCCCAGAGCTGGGAGACAATGTACTGCATAAAGGATTGGCAAGCGAGAGGCAGACACAGCAGCAAGAGACAAGAAGGGAGACAAAGGGAAACAGAAGGGGGACAAGGCGGACACAGTGACAAGGGAGACAAAAGGAGACAGAAGGGAGACAAGGCGGACACAGTGACCAACAAGAAGGGAAAGGGTGACAAGCAGGATGGAAGTCGGACACGCTGTCCCGCAGCAAGACGGACACTCTTAAAAAGCATTGAGAACTGTTTGGTGAAAAGGTGAAGAAATCACTTTGGAGACAAATGAATTGACATGCTGCATGGCCAGCGGAAAAGGGCGGACGCCAGCAGTGCAGGCACGGAACCTGGGAAGCAAGATGGACACAGTGACCACCAAGAAGGGAGACAAGACCGGAGACAAAGGATACAGAATTGACACAGGGCGGACGCAATGACCAACAAGAAGGGAGACGAGAAGGCCGACGAGGCAGACACAGTAACCACCAACAAGAAGGACAGAGGGTGACAAGCCGGACGGAAGGCGGACACGCTGTCCCGCAGCAAGGCGGACACCCTTGGAAAGCATTGAGAACCCCTAACAGTAACCTGTTTGGGGAAGTTAAGAAACCACCTGGGAGCAGTACAGCCACCGAACCTGGGACACAACACGACGTAAATCAGGCAAACGCCAATCAATATAACTTGACCTGCCAAATCATAGCCCTTCATGAACGTAAGAAGTGGATTCCCCAGCCTCGAGAAGTAGATCAGCCAAAGGTCCGTCTAACTTGACCTCAAACAAACAATTCCGCGCCGCAAGCTAAATTCCAAAACAAGAGCGCCAAGGAGAAGCAATGCTGCCTCAACTTTTTCCAAGAGCCGGAGCCGCAGGCCAGCGCTTCAAGCCCTGAGCCAAGTGTTCGGTGTCCAGGGCAACATTTTCCCTGGATCTAATTGGTCAGGGAGGACGCGCACCCAATCAGTGTCTGGCTCACCAACCTGCAAACAGAAGCGCGTTTGCCAGATTCAGTTCAACAATCGCCACATAGCGCTGGCCCTTTACAATGGGCAGCACTTCCAAGTCAAGGCTTTCCTGCGCGTCTGCAGCCCACGCTCGCAAATCTGCGCGGGCATGTACCTGCGCACGAGAGCGGGAAAGGAGATGCAGGGCACTCTAACGACGCCGTTTCAGAGGCGCACCAACACGGCTGTCCCAGAGGAGGCCAGCTTTGCAGCGCAAGCTAAAGCTTCAGTCACGCCTTCCACGGCCTCCGCCATGCGGTCCTTTGTTGCCTTGACATAGCCGTGGAGCCTGTGCGCGTGCTATGGTTTCAACTTCAGTCAACAGGTTCCAATTGCAGCAGGCCAGGCCTTGTAAGGCCTGGGCGCCGATGCCGCGACGCTTGATCGAAATCGGTGATTCCTATCGTGGCTTTGATCTTCCCAGGGCCTGCCGAATCACCATGGTTAGGTGGGGGGCACCGCTAGCCGCTAGCCGCAAGGTAGAGCGCGGATCCGAGACGCCGACGCGTGGCGGCACATATTTGCACAAACGGCTCACCCGACTTTCGGCTTCGGCCAACGAAGCCAGGGCAGTCAGCCCCCTCCAACCGTGGAGGATGCTGCCGGGATGCCCCAAGTCCCGTCCCCCCGTCTTGCGCAGGGAGGAGAATACTTTGTGTCGGGCTCACACCGACGGATAGCGAGGTGGAGACGTACCTGGCCACGGCGAGTGGATAGCAGGAGACACACCGACTCACTTGCTCTCTCTCAGCTTGCCCACCGACCCACTTCCGTCTCTCGCGCTCCAAAGCTTTCTCCACCTTCTTTTTCAGCGCTGCCCGCGCTGCACCCTGGCCAACGAGTTTGCCCCACCATGCACCGCGCAGACCCCCCTTTTGCAATCTTTTCTGTCGAGGTTACCCATGGCTTCGGCCATTGGTGGGAAATTGGTGCTCGGCCGTTGGTGCTCGGCCCTCTGCTCCTGCTCTGCCTGTCCTCGTTCTCTCTCACTCAATCTACTTCTTTTCTCTCTCTCTCTCTCTCTCCCTTTCTCTCTCTTTCTCTCCTTCTCTCTCCTCTCTGTTGCCCCTGTGCCGCCAGCTGCGCTGTCGACCTATCCTCCTCTTTTTTCTCTCCCCTCTTCCGCCCGCCTTCGGCCTGCTGCGCTGTCGCCCACCCTCACCCCAGCCTTTCCGCCGGCTGCGCTGTCGGACTTCCTTCACCTCCGCTCTCCCAGCCTTCGGCATCGAAGCCTCCAGCGCAGCACCCCCATGTCTGCCACCTTCTCCTTTCCGGTTACTCGTCCTTGACCTTGTTTCCTCTACTGCTGCTCTGTCTCTCCGGGTTCTCTCTCGCTTTCTCTCCTCCTTTTCTCTCCCTCCCTCCCCCCCCCCCTCCCTCCCTCTCTCTCTCTCTCTCTCTCTCTTCTCTTTCTCTCTGCCGCCCGCTGCGCTGTCGACCTTTACCCCTTTTTCTTCTGCCCTCTCCCATCCACCTTCCACCTGCTGCGCTGCCAGCCACCCTCACCCCACCCCTCCTCCCATCCTCTCCCAAGCTTCCTTTCCCTCTGCCTTTCCGTCGGCTACGCTGTCGGACCTCCTTCGCGACGGCTCTCCCGGCCTTCGACGTCGACGCCTACGCTTCAACGCCGCAGCCAGCCCCCTTCCATCCCTGGAAGGATGCTGCCGGGATGCCCCTGCTCCCGGCCCTCGTCTACGACCCACCGTATCTGGATATCTACGACCCACCGTATCTAGATTTCTCTCTCCATATTTCTGCTTCCATTTCTCTGTACGTTACAGACCCTAACGCGGTGCGAACCGCCACGTTCTGGCCCCGCTACGCCGAGCTGTGACATCTTGGCCGGCGCCCGGCTGTCAGGCGTAAGCCTTTTAAATCATTTAGATTTAAAGGGTATTACACTGCAGAGCTTTTTGAACGAAGGCACCGATCTCACCAATGATGTCCCAGCAGTGGAAAAGTATAGTATTTGCATGTATGTGTTTGTCGATACCAGGTACCATGTACCAAACTTGGTTGTTCACTGGGGTGTATCCCGTCATATGAATCAACCTTGGTTATCTCCCAGACACCCTGGGCCCAGTGGATGATGGGTAGCCGCTACAGGCCTTTTCCTAGCCTAAATATATGTGATAGTTGATGAACATTCATGATTGACCATGGTTTACCGACGATTGCAGATGTCAGGGGACACCTCCAAAGCAATAAGTCAGTAGGTCCTATTTTAGAATCACCGGTTTCAGTCCTATTCTACTGTTTCAGCACTCCGAAATTCAGCCAAATGTTTCATTGAACAAGCACCGAAACGTCAAACCTGGGCACGAAACGTGTCATTCCTGCGCTGATCTCTGAGCTTCGGAGAGGTTTGTACACATAGCACACCACAGTGATTCACTTGCAGCCAACCATTTCATGAAGTCATGGGTGTCCTTTTTCTTCTCGGAGATGCTGGACTCTACAACTTATATCATCTGATATATCACTAAAGAGTCTTGATCCAAAAAGAAAGAAGACGACATCCACCACTAGTTGAGCTCAGGATTTCACCAGCTCCTCCCATCCATCCGTCCATCCGGTCCTCTCCCACGCCACAGGCAGCCACCAGCGCGCCGCAACTCTTCACATCCGCCTAGCACTGCACGGCACCGCGCCTACTGAGTCGCACCGAGCCCAGCACGCTTGGCTCGTGCGAGTACTTCACGCGCGGTGCATACGGCGCGGATGCATGTCTTCGGTGGATGGAACAAACGGAACAACAGGACGGGTGACAGTAGGTACTAGATTGACTAGATAGTGTGGTGCTAGTTGACCTGGGCTTGCATGAAGCTTAGAATCGGTGCAGGTTTAACTCGAATTTATCTGGTAAGCCTCTATTTCTTGCAGAGATGTCCCTGCTAGGAAGACACTTTTGTCGAGTGTATCTCTGGGCTTCTGACTGCTTTCAGGGTGTCATTTGCCTCCCAACTCCTAACAAGGAGTTCGCCAAAAGACCGTAATTAGTATTACTTAGAACTTAGAAGTTCCAATATCCACCCACATTGGGGTCTTGTATGTATCCAGCCACGGACACTTAAACTGAGGGATGTTCAACAATGATGGTGAATTACTGGCCTGCGAATACCCGCTGGCCAAGGGTTGCGTGCCCGTCTGAGTCGCGAACAGACCTATATGCATATTTGCGACATGCTTTAAACTTTAAACAGGTTCCTGATGAAACCATCTTGTACCCATGAACCCATGTGTTAATTTGATGGGTTGAATTACTATCTTGTACCCCATGAGATATGGATTATGTCTATTGGCATTTCGTTTTCACCCCATCCTCATGGATTCGGCTGCGCGGCCTGCGCTTTCTGCCGACATGAAGCCACGTGCAGCGCGGAAGGCCAGGGTTGACCGCGCTTCACCATCCATCGCTGGTGGTGTAGAGTCCATCGAACATGAGGTGGTTACAGCTAGACTTGGTCTTCGGAACAAAAAGTCCGGCAGGAGACCGGAAACAATCCAATTGCAGGAGGAACAAACAAATCCGATGAACTTGAACAAAATGTGTAATTTGTGTCCTCTGGGAATCTCTGGGATCGTTACAAGTCTTAAAGTACTCTGATCTCCCGAACTCGGCGTGCGTGCGCTTTTCAGCAGCGGAGCGGAAGTGAAATCGCCCAGATTCGATCTACTAGATATGCTGGACCGCAGCGGGCGGGCGGGCGGCATTTCCCCTTCTTCTTTCCCTTGAAAACGTCGAACCTGTTTGATCTGTTTGCATCCTGTGCATCCTGTGCCTGGCAAAATGGTGATCAGCAACTGCGGAAGATCCCACAGGTCTCTGCGTGGCCATATGCGTCGTGTGCTGCATGGAAGATCCATCTGGAGACCCCTTTGGAAGATCCCAAACGCCGCGGGAGGACCTTTGCCCCCCTTCGTTGGGAGGACCAGGGTCCGTGGGAGGCTTGGGCGGTGGTCGTAACTCACCTCATATTGTGCCCCAGTCAGTGCCGTGCCGCATACCGCCGAATTCGATTGGGAAAAGGTGTCCTCAAGACAGGATGAGAATGTGGTCCAAAGGTGCCCTGGATGCATCTGGATTCGCAAAAAGTTGGTCGCCAAGAATATGCAAATTTGATACAATATGTCATGAAACAATCCTCAGGTTGAAATTGAAAATAATTGAAACCTTTTTGGAACTGTAACGCATGTGCCGCTCAAAGAACATCAGCTTCTCACAAATCCCAGCCACGGTGACAGGTTTTCCGGAAACCAATGTTCCATTTGGAAATGAGTGGCAGCACTCAGGAACCTCCGGAAAATCATGTAGATGGTCAGAGTCAGCCTATACCGAACCAACCCAATGAATCCACATGACCCTCTGGGAAAGAGACACTCTTATGTAGCCTTTTCTTCACGTCCTCTCCACTGTCCTTCGTTTCGTTCGGGGTCCGATCCACGGACCCGTGGCGGTGGTCCGGTCCGAGGACTCGACAGCGGTCGCCACATGCCATCAGGATGGCCGCCCCATCGTCTCCCTAGTTTCGAAGTAGACTTACTCCACCCACAACAAAATGGGGATTTTCACACATGGATCATGGATCATCACCTGTGGAGCGACACGTCTCAGTCATTCTTGGTCATGCTACCAACTTTGCCCATTGTAGCCTGCTAGCCGCTACCGCCTTCCCCTTCTCAGTCCCTCAGAGCTACCTCTCACTCCATGACCGGAACCAAACCCGTTGGCCGAATCCGTTAGATCCCGAAGCTTCCGCCAGCGGCACCCAGGACACCGGAGCGGTCTCGGACATGTGAGCAGCGGGAGCCAAGCGGCGCCTCGCTCTCATCCGGTTTGGGGTTGGACCGTGTTGATATAGCCGGTTTTGGGTTTGACAGGGTGAGTTGGATTCCCCAAAAAATCCAGTTATGAGATATTATGAGTCGCTTTGAATCGACTGATTGGTGTTTGAATGTGTTTGATGAGGGTGCGGAAGGTGCAAAATGTTGAATCAAGTGTCCTCTCTTCAGGGCCTCGATGTAGGGTATTCAGCATTTCCTATGTCAGTCCTGGAGATGATGCTGCCGAAGGTCACCCAAGAAGCTTCGACTTCTTCGAGCTGTATTCCCATAGGTTCGGGGGGGGTCGGATCTTTCATGATATATGTCCAAATCTGTTCAATTCTCCATCAGCGCCGGGTTCCACATCCACATCCACCCTCCAGTCGTCTTTCGACTCACTGCGTTCCTGCTCAGCCGTTCGCTCAGCGACCGATGCGAGGCGCTCGTGCCGTGCTTCCGCGATGCGAACCGGAGGTTTTCCGCCTCTTTGTAGAGGATGGGCTTCGGACCTTCTCCTGGGAGTGTGCCGGAGTTCAACGTAGAGCAACACCTGCTTGCATGTCTAACTGTTGTTGTTTAAGATGTGTAATTGTTATTGTGTATATATATATATATAGTTAGTTAGTTGTTTGATTAATTACGGCATACTGCCATTTTGTTGGGTGGAATATTCATCATGGCTCCAGCAATTGCAGTGACATTCTTTTGGGAAGGCTTGAGTCAAAGCTTGCGGAGCTATGTATATAATCCTTTTTGGATACACCCACCGTGACCACTCGACGACGACCCATAGAATTGAAACTGAACTCGAGTTCATGGCATTTGTGAGGGAAACAAGATTCTACCTGCCTTGAGGATCTTGACGCCTGGGTTCCTATGTCCCAAATCCACGGGAAGAGTTGCCTCCTTCCCATTCAGGCCATTGACAGTGTAAAAGGCTTCCAGTCCCTTTTCTTCTCAATCGACGCCAGAGGACACTTATTTGAGCACCGGGAACGGAATGGTTTCCGAAATCGGTTTGATGGTGAGATCCAGTGGAACTGGCCCAGTTCCACCCCCTATACAGGTTCACCGAGCCATTTTGGGGGGAGACTTAGTAGGAAAACCGACCTTTCCACCTGCTGATTTAGTGGGAAAACCCCCTTGCCCAGAAGGTTTGTCAGTATTCTCCACTGACTAGGGGTGATCTGAGTCATACCCTCCATTTCCCACGACTCCATCGTGGTTCTGCCTTCACCCCATCACCCCATCAATCCCGTCGTTTCCGCCTCGCGAAGGCCAAGCTCTCGCCTTCAACGGTGTCATGAAGAGAAGGAAGTAGGGGATCTTTGGGTCAGATATTTCGGAAGTCTATTGAGTAAGAAGTCGACATTTCAGCGGCTGGCTTGAGCTCACCCGTGAGTGATGCGTCTCGCATGTCGGGTCTCTTTTCCTAAAGCTTTCCTTGAAGATTAGAAAACACTATATATAGTTTTTAATATAATTAATATTCATTCATGATCGACACATATTGAAGCGACCTGTGAAGGCGTCCCGAACGGGTTGCCTGAACTCCACGTCTCGAACGGGACCGGGCGAATCACCGGCGTCACCGGCGTCCGAGCTTCGACCGAGCTTCGACCGAGCTCCGTCTGAAGCGATGCGTCGACCGAGCTCCTTTTGGAACGGTTCGTTCGTCCTTCGGTCGAAGGGTTCGAGTCGTGCCAGGCGACTTCCAAGTTCTCTGCCCGAGGCCCCCAGGGACCATCCGAAAGAATGAACGGCGCTTTTGGATCGACGGTTTTTGTTGGAACGTCTAGAAGCTACTGAGAATTGGAAGGCCAGGAGCTACTGCAGCCGATCAACCGTCGTCGACGGTCTGTTGATGACCTTCGCGAAGTTTCTAGCTGTGTCATAGAGAAAAATTCGACTGATTTCTACTGCATTGCAACTATAGGTCAAAGTTCAAATGCAGTTTTAATACACCTCATGTTTGTGAAATCCGTCTTGTATGCATCTTGGGTATATATCTGATTAGAGGAAACGATAGACGACAATGGTGGTGATGGTGGCAGCAGCTGTGGTGGACAACAGGACGGCAACTAATAACTTTGACATACACCAAGGCATTAGTAACTTAATTAGTAAGGGTGAAGGTTGAAAACAGTAAAATCTCTTTACCAGCTAGCTTGAAGTCTGGGTAGACTTAACAAAAACATACCCCAAACGTTTCCCCAAACGTCCGTCGACGTTCCCTCCTTCGCCCCATCCGCCTGGCATCCGCACACCACGATTCCAAGCGAGCGCGCATCTCGTTCTCCGTGCCACCTGGCGGCGGAGCGGCGGAGCGGCAGGAGCGGACGTCGAGTGCCGTCATCGCCCCGGGACCGCTGAATAAGCAGCGAATCCATGGGACTGGAATGTTTGTTCCTAGTAGCGATGCCAGGAGCCCCGAACGTAGCGTCCGAACGCTCCTAGTAGTAAGGCCAGGAGCCCCGAACCTGAGCGTCCGAACGCTCCTATCATTTTATATACCACATAGACCCCTTTCCAACCACCCCAGCATGGATTGGATATAGGCCCAATCCTGGATGCACTCTCAGGATGTGACCGCTGTATGTATACTTCTTGGTACATCTTCCAGTTCCATGGATTGTTAGTTAGGGAATATTTAAACATCTCTCCCGATCTTGGCTTGGAGAACCCGGGGTCTGTACTGGGATTTTGTGTCAACTTTACTCGAACTTCTGTTTCGAGGTTCATTTCACCTGGTGGTCTTTTCTGCATTTTAAGGCACAGCCCTGTGGCAAACAACATCTTTTTGGACAAGTCTAATATGATTCTAGCATAAAACTACATATATGTTTTGATCTTGACCCAAATCAATCTTGATCTTGATCTTGACCCTACATGATGACCCTACACCTACAAATATACCTGTTGTTTTGCTCCTACATATATGTTTTGATCTTGATCTGTCAAAAGGTGCTTTTCACAGATCTCTCATCTCTCCATGAAAGCGGCGGCTTGAGCACCAAGACGTCCAAAGCTGACCATTTGTGACCCTTGCTGGGCCAGGTAAACCATGACTTCGGAACCATTGAGTCACAATAAGTGATTATTGATGAGTAAACAGTAAAGCAGTCTACCTTCTCAACATTCAACTTAGACATTGGAAGATCAGGGCCCAGGTTACCCAGGTTGCTCTTTGTCAGGCAAGAATTCAACGCTTCAGCGCCGACGATCACCCGCACCCGGTGACCGCCCGGCCACGCCATGCCAGGCCTGTGGGCTTCTTGGCAAAGAGCACCAATCGGGGCCTTGGAAAGGCTTTCCGCCCAGACATGAAATGGCCACAACTGGAAGCTAAACAAACTTGGAAGTTGTTCAGTCAATCAATGTCACCAAACGGAAGCACAACTGTCTAAGTTTAGTTTGATAAATATATATTAAGACCGCGAAGTCCTGCACAGACCAGTCGTTGTTCAGTTCTTCAGTCACCTTGGTCGACCTCCCCGTGAAGCCTCAGTCTCCCCTCTGCGACCTCCCCGTGACGTCCTCGTGCGATGTCCTACGGGTTCTTCCGATGGGCTCCAACTCTGATGAGCTAGACAAACAAAACCATGCGAAAACCGATGGAATTTCGCACACTCCCATTTCCCCCCGGGTCGTCAGACCCCACTTGCCCATTCGGGTGAGTGATTTCTTTAAAAATTGATCATTGGTTTAATTGGTTTAAAGAATCATTGATCCCATGCCATGTTCCCCCGGGTCGATGACTTCGCTTTTGGGAATCACCACGCCCCAACCGCGACTCGGCGACTCGGCCATACTCGTCCTGGACTCCCCCGCGGGTGTGTCCACGCATCCTCCGTCTTCACCTCCTCCTGGGTCGGCCCCCAAGCCGGGAGCGCTCCAAACCAACCGCTGACTTCAACACCCCCGAAAAGAAGCCGCTAAAAGAAAACGTGCTGAGCTGCTGAGCATAGAAAATTAATGAACATTACCATACCGTCTCTTTCTTGAATCCCATGTACATGATCTCATTCATCGGCCAGTACCCTCCAGAAGTTAGCTCCACCTCGATCAACTCGGGAATCCCTTTGTGTCCAACACACCACGCACCACGCAGCTCCATCTGCAGCTCGGTCGGCAGCATTTTTGATCGAGGTCCATCCTCTTTGGTCGTTGGTCGGGCATGCGCTTCTTTATGCTTTTCTGGGCGGCATGCTCTCAAGCAGTTTTCAGAGATGAATTTGATAGGTTCTTCCAAAGCAGGGACAGATTCTATATAAGGCCCAAACTGCCGAGTTTTGGGGATCTTCTGAAGCTTTTGTCGTTGGTGTCTCTGTCTAAAACACGAGACTCATGGTTGAGCCCTTGGGGTCACGCATATTTTTTAAAACCTCGTTTTAGGACTCCTCAAACCAGAAGTACACGGCATTCAGATTGATGATAGAACCGGTAGATCATTTGCATTGATCATTGAATCAGCTGATCATTGATTCGTCATTAGGGCTGACTTTCATCCATTCGCGCCATGTCGAGACGCGAATCCGGAGGTTTCCAGAGAATCTCCGTTCCAACGACAACGTCGGAAAAACGAAGGATCGAGCTTTCGGTGCCTTGGATGTGTCGGACTTGGGATCTATAGTAGTGAGCCATAGTGAACCAAATAAGTGAACAAATCTGACTGGAAACGCTGTTTTTCTCCAACAAGCAGTCCTAGCTTCTGCAAGCCAAAAGCTTGCCACCTCTTTGCTGCACAGCCATGCCCGCACAAACCAACTCCGCAATCCTCGAAATAAGGTGCCAAATGTGGTTGTGGGTCAAAACATCCAGGGTGCTCCAAAACATCAAACATCTATCATCTAACAGACTTCTAGTAGGACCTCAACCCCCCAAAAGCTGACGAGTCCTCCCTGTGTTTGTGGGGTTTCATGGTTCGGAGATGTTCGGAGGCTTCATGATTCTTATGGCGCCATATAGGGGTATGACTCCAACGGACCCTGATTTCATGAAATGCGAACATCCCTTACCATAATAGGGGTATCCCTCAAGAACAAGACCTTCACTTGTGGACCGGAGTGCAACGATGTAACCCAGACCTTCAGGGATTCAGGTGCAAGGACAACTGGACGATTCAAGCATTACATCAACAAAGAGTCCCTGTGGTTGAAAGGGCGCCATGATATGGACGCTATCCCAGCTCACATCTTCTTCGGACCCAAACGCGACCCTGGACCCTCGGAGGGGTCGGACCCAAATCCTTTGGAGAGGTCTGAGAGGTCTGGGACTCTGTGCAATCCCCAGGTTTTGAAGGGACCTGCCGGGCTTTGAACGGAGCGTCTCGGTATATAATATCACCTGATCCTCAGCCTCTTCAGGATTTTCTCGGTGTCAATGACGGACGCCCGAAGTGAATCTTCGCATATCTTCGCCAATCCCATTGGTTTGCAGGAACAGTGCAACATATTCCAACAACAACCCTGTGCTGTGCTATATTTTACTTGCTGCGAAACTATGCAAAACGCAATCAACCACCGTTTTTACATGCCGCCGTGGCGGAGATTCTCCCACACGACGTACATGGCGGATTCACGGACATTTCACCCACATCCATGTCGCGACATGGCCACAATTGGCCGGCACTTCGGCCGCTTCTTCAGGCCACGCAACGCACGGAGCTTCCGACTCCTCCTCCTCCTCCTCCTCCCCTCCCGCGGTGGAACCGCGCGTGTCGGGGCGCAAGGGTGAGGACGTGGGCACCGGTTCTCGCGACGTGGGAGCAGTGAATGAGTAAATTCATGAAGTCATGGGCCATGGCGATGAAGAGGTTGGGGGAAGTTGGGGCGGAGTGATTCATTGATCCTATTCATTCCTATTCTACCAATGACCAATGACAATCAAGTTGAGCAATGACTGAGCAACTAATTCCTGATCAGCTCAGATGAGTTCAACCCGGGACCCCTGCACTCAATGCACTGGAATGTTCACAAAAGTGGGTGGAAACAAGAGTCATACTAGGCCGGTGCCTCAACGCCAGAGTCTGGGACACCTATATGTTTCGTTATTACTGTAGTCGTCTTATCAAGGTGGTTGTGGTGTACTAATTGCAAGTCAAATACGGCTGCGTGTAAGAGGGAGAGGCCCCAATTCTGGTCCATATTCCATATTGCATTCCCTTGGAGTCTTTGGGTCTCTATTAAGCCCCCTATTCCAATTGGGTCTCCCTATTCCAATATATCCATTGGGTCTATCCTATCAGCAGTAGCAGTGGATAATGATGGTTTGGTTGCAGGCCTTGTTCAAAACAACGGATCAAACATAGTGATATGCGTTTACTTACTGTTACAGGTAAGTTCGGACAAACCCAACATAATATCCACATTCTATCTATGGCTATGGAGTCGTTTGGGACATTTATCTTTACACGCAGCCGCCGTTGAAGGGGTCAAAGCACACACACGATAGGGGCTGAGCTCGGATAGCTTGGATCAGGATCTGTATGGATTGAAAGACATTGGGTGTGTAGCTCCATGATGGGCTCGACCGATACCGGGAGGCATCCCGACCGACACCGGGAGTAGACGTTGGCGACCGACACTGGTGGAACCCACCACGAAGACAGTCCGAAAGCATGCCATCCCGGTGGCGACCAAACTGACGACAACGAAGGGGATCTTAACATGTACCAACCCAAAGATGGAGCACGGTCCACGCCACATATGTCCCCACGTCCGCAGTTGGCAGTGACCCTGATCAGATCCCTTTGAGACCGAAGAGGGCTCTAAGATCAAGAATCCCCAGGGAATCCAGGTTTACGAATTCCAGAACTCTTAGCGACCCTCTCATGCCCAAATCTTCTCAAACATGGCTGACCTACATTGACCACTGGATCCCCTGGGGTAGCTAAGCCTGAAGACTCGTCCAGGAAGATGCAGGAGCCCCCAAATGTCAAACAATGAGGCCCTCCACAGATGTTCCACCTCCTCAATTGAGGCGAAGATTATGTTACTTGAGGGGTCCGAAAAAAATGTTTTGAGCTTCCTCAACTCTTATGTTCTCACGGACCTTGGACTTCAACTTTCTTCAGGGGAAGCTGCTCTTCCCGAACATTTCCGACCCCGGCCCTACCGCCTTCGGCGATCTTCGATGACCGGCGGTGACCGGCGGAGGCTCGCCCCTCCTCCGGGAACCGGGCGAGAACAGGTCGGTTCGGAGGTCTCCACTGCCGAAGTCCTGTGGCTGGTCAATCTGATGTTGCCTGAGGCAATGCCTGGGTGGTCTACCTCCATCACCGATGTCCAAAGCCTTAACCAAAGCTCGAAGCGGCCCGACCTCTGAGAGAGGTGCGAGACATTCACAGAGTGACTTGAGATTTTAGTTGGAAACCAGTATTTTGCAGTGTGTCAAACACACCACCCCTCCGCTGGATTCACAGTAGACACCAGTTTCCTCCCTCATGCGCCTCATGACCCCCAGTTTCAGCCCACGAATGGACCCCAAGTGAATCCATGCTTTTCCTTACTGGTCCTTGCTTGGGGGGCAAGGCAATTCAGGCATCACTTGTAGTGAGTTGGCCGACCTTGGCACTCGGCTTGCCTTTGTTCAGCAGTAGAGCTAGGCCTTGCACATTGGCTTGATCAAAAAAAGAAGGCCTGGCTCCAAATCAAGGAACTTACCAAATACGTGCATTTATCATCATTTATCATGATGTATCCCTGATCCCAGGCTAGATTTGAGAAATTCTTGGATCGTGTTGTTTTCATATGATTGGGAGACCTCTCAAATCAGTAGGATTCTTTTGCACCTGCAATTACTGTGAAGCCTCTCGGCCTATGACTTGGTCTTTATTGTATTATTCTATTATGTTGTGTATCAAATTACGCATGACCGATCATATAACCCCCACTTTGGCCCAGTGGGGTTCGATGAGCCCAACAACGCTTCTCTGTGGGTCTAGACCTGTCCCAGTTCTTCCTTCGGAGCCAAACCCCTTTTTCAAGCCACCAATTCACGTGCTTCGGCGGAAGAGGGATCAGTCCCGCCCAAGATCGTTCAGACCTTCGACGCGAGCTGCAGGCAGACCTGAAAATGCACTCGTCTTGCCGCGTCCGCTGCCACTGCCTCTTCCCTCTGGTCTGGTCCCTCCCTGGCTTGGTTCCCCAGTTCGTTCTAACCAGCGGAAGCGGTGACAAGACCCGATGATCTTCGCCTTGGACATCGAATACTCTCGGTTGCCTTGAAAAAACTGAGGATGTGGCAAGGTCTGACCGGTGCAGGGAAGAAATCGTTACACGATTTGGCAAGGACAATTCATGAAAAGGAATGAAGAAGACCTTCTGAGTTCTATCGTGTTCTATCTATCCTAATGGACCAAGGGTCATGGCAGTCATAGGATGTTTGTATGAAATATGATGTTGCAAAGTCTGGGCATGGATTGGACCCTGCAGCAAAAGGGAAACAACTTACTGTAAACAGCATTTGTATCCATTTGTACTGCTGGCCTTGAACAATGCGACAATCGAATCTGACTATTGGCTCCGATCCCAACCACAAGGGTTGGATGGCACCCTGTTGTGGTTTCAAGCTATTTGGGACAGTTCTAATGCATATATTGTGCTCTAACGATTCCAGATCCTCAGGAAAACGAAGCAAAACACCATCCACAAACAACCATCCATCACCTGCGCCCCGGCGGCGCACGGAGTCCGCACCTTGCGGCACCTTCGGCACCGCGCCTTCGGATCCGAGGTGCCCAACGACCCCGGTCTCCGGGTCTTGCGTCTGGGGCGTGAGATCCAGGACTCTTCCAGGAACAAGTGCATCGCTACGTTCGAAACAAGTGCCTTACTAGTAGTAACAAGAAGCTACTAGGAACAAG